TTTTCTTCTAAAACAAAGGGAGGCCTAGCGAAAAAATTTGGGAATCACTGCTCTAGCAAGTGGTTCTAGGCAGGTAGAGCAGGAGTGGCATGGGACATGTGCCACATGAAATGAAAAAAAGAGACATGCCACATGATAGAAAACCTGGAAGTGATTACTTATATAGAGTACACATAAATACACAGACTTCTAAATTGCTATTATCTCACAGCCTTTATCTGTATTTTCCCCCAAACCTTTGATGGTAGCTAAAATTAGAACAACGCACATCATTTGTTATGTTAAACTATATTCAGTTAAACAAACTACTTCTGGAATTACATTCTTTTGCATATTTTGCCTTGCCTACACGTTCAAATTCACTTTTGTATTTTTTGCATGAAATACATTTTTACATAGACATTTAAAGAAGCTGTAACGTGAAGCATTTCATTTTTTAACATTTGGTTTTACTGCATTTACCTTCCCACAATAAATATAGCTAAATGAATAATGGAACAATAGCAGACCTTGTTTATGCAAAAAGGCCTGTCATAATCCTTGAATTTGCATTTTAACACCCAATTTGATAACAGCCCTTTAATCCCAGTGAAGCTCTGAAAGTCTTTAAATCTCCTCACAGTGAAGAATCACACACATTTCCTAATGATGAAAACAAACTGTTTTGAAGCTATTCCAACCCTTAGCATGAATCAATGAGGTGTCAAGAGGGTTTCTGACAACAGTACGCTTTTAGGTAGACAAACAGAGGATGCCTTGGGTATTATACAGCTGTGGTTTGATCAGTCTATAATAGATTTTATGTTATCATGGACACCTCATCATTCAGCTTCACTGGTGCTTTGGGATAATGGTGAAGACAGAACACTGACCATGTCTGTCTTCTGTTTTCAGACCAAAAGTTAAGCAAAGTTTCATTTGAGAACAACAAACTTCTAACTGGGCTCAAATACTAAGATATTCTCAGAACGTACCCAGACTTTCTGTAAATTTGCTTATTTTTCTTAGTCTCCTACTTTTCACTATAAAAATTAAGTTAAATGACACAGCTGACAATTGGCTAGTTCTCCTTTTCTGATTTTCTGTGGAATGAAGAAAATCCAGTCTGTGAGAGATTATTAGCCAGGAGGCTTTTGCAACACAATGCGAGACAGATTTTTTGTGGAAACTTAAATCGTCTTGATGCATTCTCAGTCATCCAGGAAAGTAAATCCCCAAAAGTTGATTCTGTTCCAGATGAACAGAATCAACTTTTGGAGATGGAAACTTAAATATTTTCAACTTACACACATGCATATTTGCCTCTAATTGATTCATGTGCAACAGCCATGTATGCAATCTCAGTATGTATATGCAGTTTGTGGTCCACAGTAGAATATGTTATGCTGAAATCAATATGTGGTACTTGCTAAAAGTCAATATACCGGTAATCCTTTGCTATCACTGCGGTGCCTTGTTCAGAATTTGCCAGGATTAACAGAGACTCAACTAAAAAATACTGACATTTCCTCCTCTACACCAGTCATTTTCAAACTATTTTTTGTTGCCCAAAGTACACCAAAGGGCAAACCAAACTTTCAAAGTGCTCTTGTAGTCATATCTGTCATGGGTTCTTCTTTTGATTGGAATGCAAGGTGACGACACTTTGACAGCTCATTTGCAGCAGCTGGACCTAGTATGTGTATCATCCCATCCATTAGCATACCTTACCTCAATCTAACAAATGGTGAGTCCATTTGGATTCACTGCTCTAGACTTTTACGTTCACCCTACATTTGTGCTGCACAGCAATTTAAAAACTAATTAAAGTCTGTTTAGCGGTGACTACAGTATTCTCACCATCTTATGTGGTTAGACAAGGTTATCGTGCCAGCACTTTTCCACCTGCAGACGGACCTATCCAGTTTGTTGTTGCACACAGCTACACACCCTACACACAATGTACTTTTTGTGTAATTGTGTGATATGTAAAATAAAAGCACTTATCAAAGGAGTGATATTGGTGCATGTTTTAACAGATATTAACAGAGGTTAATACATTGGGTATTTGTTCCTGCATTGTAATAGAGATTCTGGAAAGCTGAGGCATATGTAATGTGACATATTCCAAGTTTTGGGCCTGACAAAGTTCATAAAGTGCAAAGAAGAAAATAATTTTCAAAATGAAGAAAATCAAGGACCAACAGAGAAAGCGATCAGAATTTTTAAAGGAGTGTGAATCTTTTGAAACATCATTTTTTTGTCTTACTTTCTCCAGTATTAGGCCACATCTCTTATAGCTATTTGTGCAGTTAATGTTTATGTATGTGAACAAGCCAGCCTATAGGGAAATCATGTGTGTTTGTGCTGTTTGCATATCAGTGTTGACGTGCTTCATACAGTACCTATGATAACATGTGCCCCGAGTCTGACCAAGTGGCGAGCTACTTCATAACCAATTCCCCTGCCTCCTCCTGTCACTATGGCAACGTTGCCATCTTGTCTGGGCATCACTGGCAGGAGCAGAAGAGGAGACAAAGATATCAAAGAGAAAGTCACTTGATAAGGAAGCTTCTTCAGGACAGGCTGATGTTTCTATAGATGACAACTCAGTAAAAAACACATGGGCTTTTTGTAGAATTTTTTTCTTTTTATTTCCATTGTACTGAATAACAAGTTTTCTTTACTTTCTTTCATTACTAAAGTTACTTTATGGGTTCAGTAGCAACAAAATAATAACAGAAAGGGACCTTAATTAAATGCAAAATAGAAGAAAAGTTCAATAAATTTAAAAAAAAAAAGCATTTTATGAAATGTGTGAAAGCCATCAGATTTTGATTTATTTTAATCAGAAACACGAAACAGTGATATAACACTCAAATTAACAGAGTTAAATATCAGAAAACAACTGACAGCAGATATTGTTCACCTTATACTCCACTAGTAACATATGATATATTATGTAGTTACAGTTCATATTCCAGAGAACACATGAGTTCTTCCTATACCCTTTCCTGTCAATTTTCAAGAAGACTGGAAGAGTCTGCCACATTGGATGTGATACAACCACTAGATGCTGGGGGAAAATATGTATTTCTGGATTGGTCGGCAGTGGTTTCTGGAGGTTGCTGCTTCTTGCTAGGTGAAACTGACTGCAAAGAAGGGTCTGCATATGCTGTATCACTAAAACATCAGGTTTGTATCACAATTCTGGCACTTTGCAGTTTAGTTTGAGTTTTTAAAAATGTTTAGTTTTAAGTAAATTTTAATGGTTTCAGTGTTAGTTTTTATTTATTGTGCAGTGAGCAGTATTTATCCAGAGCAATAAGTTTTCAGAACTCATTCAGAAAGCTCAGTCTGAATAAATCATTGCACCAGTGCCTCCCGAGCTTATGTTAACCACATTGAAAAAGAACAAAAATAAATTAGATAAATAAATTATTTTTTAAAAAACAATGTATTTTTTTATTCTAGTTATTTTTCTAAGTTAGCAATATAATTTCAGTTTGGATTATTTCTGACGTCTCTTTTTTGTTTTTATTTCAGTAAGATAATTATAACAATAATAATAATAATAATAATCCTAAAATAAAAAACATGGTTATAGTTTTGGTGTAGTTAACCAGGTGTCTGCAACAAAATTAAGTTGCGCTGTCTCTGGGCGACGAGCGAACTAGCCCAGACAGCATTATGAAAAGTGCACATTTAACCTCACAAAGCTTGGTGGCAATCGTAGAAACTTTGGAAAGGACACGTTGATGTTCTACGCAATCGTTAATTATTCGGCTGAATTCGGCAAAAACAAGACGACAGATGATCATTTTTTTCGCTAATGTTTTGAGCTTAACACAAACTAGCTAACATAGCTAGCATCGTGTTAACATGTGCAAGTGCAACATAGTAAATGACCGCTACATGTACTAATGAACAATGATAACCCGTGCTGACTATAATGCACCCACGTTCATTGGTTACAACTTGGTTGCCCGTGCTGTCACTTACAACTGAATTACAACTTGTCAAACTAACGTAAGCTAAAGTTAAACCGACCTGGCAGCCTCAAAGGTCCGTTTAGCAGTTGAAGCAAAAGCACCTTTAAACCAAGCAGGTAAAGCTTTATAGCTGGCAGAAGATGACACCAAAAAGCAGACAACATCTCTGCGAGGATGTGTAACGCTGGTATCCGAAAGAGCCGTCAGTGCAGAGGCAGAGCAAACCACCACAACGCAGTTACGTCTGTGGGACGCGTTCCAATATGAAGTTGTCCAACATCGCTTCCTTCCTTAACACATCTTCTAACAACTCATGTTCCATTTTTAGATTACTAAATTAGACGACTAACAATTCCCTGACATATCTATTTTTAAAATCTTGACTTTTCAAAAGATTTTTCCCCGTAGAGCCGCTATTTGAAATCATGATCCCTTAAAGTCATCTGTCACATGGCTGTAAAGCTGAAATAAGTGTATGATGGAGGGGACACGTTCTCCTCGCTGCTCCTTGGCTGCTTGATGTGCCGTATGATCCTTATCTGTAGATCCAGCATATTGCACCCTTCAGCTCACTGACTCCCTGATTAACTGCTGCCAGCCAGGTCACACGCGACAAAAATCAACTGAGGGATGACACATAGTAGTCTTATCCATAATTTCCCAAGTTACACTTAAAAGAACAAGTTTCTAGAGCAGGGTTAGTCTGAACTAACAGTGAATTCTGGTCTGCCTGTCAGTTTTTCTTCCCAAGGGATCGCTTGATTCCACACCAGCCTACTTTTATTGGCGGCTGCTGTGATGGTGAAATGTAGGAATTCAGCTGTGAAAATCCTGATTGCACTAACTAAAAAAGAATCAAAATATGGTATTTTATTTATTTTAGATAGGTGACAAACTATGATATAACTGAAGTTGGCTGTACACTAACAGGCTGTATGAATTTATGATTTAATAAATTAGTCATCATAATTTCTCATAAATATTTATAGCACCTATCATGATAGTGAGGATTACAGCTTCAGAGAAATTATTTTTCCACTTCTAGAGATAAGCTACTGGCACTTTTGTGTGACACCCCATGACTTCTAATCAGGACCAATACCCCCTGCTTACAGCAGATACTGAACATCTTTGGCCATTTCACTGGGCTCAGAGAATCAAATGTCAAGAAGATATTTTCAGACATTATCGGATGAGTTTCACCGACATTTTGTGTCACCTGCCACTATGGAGTACAGTGATTCTGAGTTTGTGTGATACTTAGAGGTCACAAGCACCAACTTATTTAAGCAGCTATCAAATATAGAGGACAACAACACAAAGCATGATGACATAATGAATTATTAAAGCTTAAATAAATGATTCCTTGAGACTTTTTTTTTGTCTGAGACAAAAGATTAGAGTTTAAAAAATAAATGTATCCTCCCGAGACCCCGTGACCTCAGAGGGGTATTACATTTAGACTTTTATGCACCTTCATTCTTCTAAATAAGTGTTTCATACATGGTTCAACAATGGCAACTTCATTCTATTATGGTGTAAATTAACCCCACAATTCCCTTATGGGTTTTTTCAAACATTCTTATAATATCCCAAATAGTTAGGTGAAAACTGGAGGTTAATTTCTTGCAAAATGTTTTTATTTACTCTTGTTTTTATTTATTCTTAACCTTTAATCATTCTTTATTTGTCAGATTTTTTTTCCTCAAGCCTGGCTCCAGTGTGACCACAACAGTAAAATGCAGCGATATGGAAAACCTCATGTGTTCTTTTTCTTTTTCTGGCCTCTCCTTTTCAAAGTCTCCACATTGGATCATCTGCTTCCATCTCACCCGATCCCTAGCATCCTCATCCCCACCCTGTCGTGGCAGATGGCTGCCCCTCCCTGAGCCTGGTTCTGCCGACGGTTTCTTCCTGTTAAAAGGGAGTTTTTCCTTGCCATTGTCACCAAAGTGCTTGCTCATAGGGGATTGTCTGTTTGTTGGGGGTGGGGGGTGGGAAATATTGTATATATTAGAGTCTTTACCTTACAGTATTATGTACCCTGATGCGACCGTTCTTGTGATTTGGCGCTATATAATTAAAATTTATTGAACTGAATTGAACTGAAAATCCTTCTCTGCCCCCACTAACCCTCAGGATGTCCTCCTTCACTATCCACGGATCTTCTTTGTGGTCTTCCTGTTTTCCTCCTGCCTGGCAGCTCCATTTTCAGCAATATCTTCAATTTGTTAGAAAAAGTGTAGTATTTGATTGACACCTGACTGACAAATACCACCCAGGATTGACTGGTTGTCCCAAAAGGTGAAATTAAAGTTTCTTTAAAAACATAAATGACTGCCCATTTTCATCTATAATCTACACATCTGAACAGATTACCTACTACAGTGACGGACAGGCTAACAGTGTGAGCTGAATCATCACTGGCACTCAAAGTAGGCCAACCAGTCTGTCCCTCATTTCAATAAAATTACAACCATTTGTGTTAAAGACAGGTCTGAGGCATTCACAATAACTTCCCTTTTTTCCCCTCTTGGCAGGAAAATCATTAGTATTTGTTCGCTTCTTGCCCAGTATGCAGTGGTTAAGGCTACTGCTGCAGTGACATGCAGTTGGCCTCGGTTATTAAAGTCAGCTCAGGAAGGCAGTTAAATGAGCATCAACATAAAGAAACTGTGTCATCACCACTACCCTGATGGAGGCTGAGCTGCGGAGGCTGTGTGTGTAGTCAAAAGTGCATGTGCTGCTGTGAATTCAAGCTGAGAGGATGAGTTGTGCACACATACGAGTGTTTGTTCACCCGCAGCCTGAGAGGTTGTGGGTCAGTAAGGCGAGCCGGCCTGCTATTGTTTAACGGAAATCGCATCTCACGCATGACTGTGGGATGATTATTTGGGATGATGGGAAATCAGGCAGACACATGAATACACAGTCGCACACGCGCACAAAAATTCCCACATACGTTTGAACGCACGCGAGACATGTTGGGAACAATACGTGACAGGAGGGTGTGTGAAGCAAATAACATGTGAACAGCATCAAAATAGCTCCAACTAACAGTCACCTAGTCTTGATGACAACCACTGGCTGCCTGCAAAGCCCAACTTGTCTTATTTTGTAAATCCAGGCTGACAACAGCTCTGCGGGATCTGTCTATGTGTGTGTGTGTGTGTGTGTGTGTGTGGTGCATGTGTGTGTGCTAGTTAAAATGCAGTTTTTATTTCATTTTTTTCATAGACTTATTCTGGGTAAGAAGATGGTATTGGATATTTTTAGCAGAAAATGGCCCTAACTGTTTTTATATACTGATTCGATGCGCTCTTCCTTAACACTCTACTCCCCTGCTTGTATTTGTTCCTGATCAACTGCTACCCACGAGAGATGGGAGGTGAAGTGTCATATTGGGAAGAAAGGGAATTTTCTGGGTGTGTCATGGGCAATTTGGGCTCCGGAGTGCAACAGCTTGTGTGAATTGAAGTTAGCTTTTTCTCTGGCTTTGAGCTGCCTCTTTTGTAGCTTTT